AAAATTATCAGTAGGTTAAGACCATCCCTTGCTGTGATGTTGCTAAAAACTACTGCATTAAGCCTTTTTTTTTTTTTCCTGTCACATGTTAATTCAATATGAAAGGAAATCATATTAATAAGTCTTTGGCTAATACATTTGAAAAATCTTTTTTATGTATATCCAGTTGAAATTTTTTTCATTTTTCTGAGAAATGAAATATTTTTAGGGTTTTCACTCAGAGGCCATTAACGTTTCTTCCTGTCTCTTGTCGAATTGATGTAGGTCATAATGATTACGGTTATCAGCAACCGTCGTATCCTGAACAAGGCTACGATAGGCCTTATGAGGATTCCTCACAACATTACTACGAAGGAGGTATCTATATACCTTCACACACATACGCACATACATTCCCTTTCCTCCCTCACCCGCAACGGGAACGAAAATTCCTGCACAACACGACTTATACCCATGCAAAGCTCTTGTAGAATACTAGTTGCTGGCTGTCTTGAAAATTGCAGGGAACTTGAAGCATTCAGAATAATTTCTTGCAAACACCTAAAATATATAACCACAATTTGCCATTTCTAACAACAGTAAAATGACTAAAACACTCTAGAGATTTTTTTATCTTTTTATTTTTTACCTCAATGGAAATTTTTATTTAAACATAAATTCGTTGGTTCAGTTGTATACCTTTCTGTGTGTGTATATATATTTTGTATAATTGTAGTGCCGTTAGGAAACAGCTTGCTGATCTTGTGTAGCTAGTCTGTGCTCTTGTAGCTGTCCTTAATTTTGGTTTGGTTTTTTTTTTCTTTTTTTTTGTTTTATTTTATTTTGTTTAGCATAGTCATAGTCTTACGACTGTGATGTTCCAGTAAATGTAATGCTCGTTTGGCAGAGATGCTGAAAATGCTGCAGTTCAACTTTGCAAAATTGGCTTTAACTGCAGTTTGTTTGGCCGTATTCCTTCTGTTTGGTTTGAGTTTTCTTTGTTTTGTTCAGTTTTTGAAATCAATATTGCATTTTCATTTTGTTCTTGTGTTGTTGGCTGTGCATCTTAGAGGAAAAAAAAATGAAGTAGGTATCTTTACAAGCTTTTGCTTTCTTGCAATCATCTTACAGGAAACTCGCAATATGGTCAGCAGCAAGATGCATATCAAGGACCACCTCAACAGCAGGGTTATCCACCACAACAGCAGCAATATCCAGGCCAACAAGGCTATCCAGGACAACAGCAGGGTTATGGTAAGAACCTGAAAACACAGACAGCAATCACAGAACAGACTAAAGAGACATCCTTGTATGTTATTCCATCCCTGTTTTACTTGGTTGAAAGGCCAAGCTTGTGCAAAAAAGCTGTATGCCCACAATTTCACTGGGCCAAAACAAGAAAGTGTAGAAGACGGCATGTTTTGGGAAGTAGATTGTGTTGTCAGTCTGGGACAGTGTGGTAGCACAGAGAAACCTCTGTAGGTGAACACTGTCAGGAGAGCACAAAAACGGCAAAGAGCCGTTTATACTCTGTCATGCTTGGATTTGCCATTCAGAACAAAATCTTTTAAAAACTAGTTTAAAATTTCATCCAGCACATATTAATCATTCTTTTAAAATTCTTGCACTGATCAGTAAGGAAATGAATAAGCATTACCAATGCAGTTTTCAAGAGAGTTTGCCTTATAAATTTGCACTAGTGGTATAAACCTTCTGATGTATGGCAGGAATCAGAAATGCACTGCCACGAGTGAGATCATGTAGTCCTTAGATTCAAGGAAAACCTCCCAAACAGGAAACTTAAAGTATTAGTGTGTAAATATTGTGCATTACATCTGAAAACTTGAGGTCAGAAGAACCTGAAAATACTGCTCTTTCAAGTTTTACTTGGTCACATATTGTAAAGTTCTACGTACTTATTTCAGAAGAAGGAATCTCTGAAATCTAATTTCATATATTTAACTTTTAGCTTTGTTGCAGGTTTAGGTGCTAAAACTTTCAGCATTGTGTGTATGCGAGGAAGTGCATGGATGACTTGTTTGCCATGTAGATAAATGCCAGGTACACATTAAATCCAGTTATGTTGAGACAGAGTTTAATTTTAAGAGGATCCACTGAGATTTAGCAAGTTTTCACCTTTTAGAGGTTATGAATGAATTGATAGTTCTAAAATAATACTCATGTACTTACATTCTGTGAAACGTGACACAGGAACAGAATGAAGATCAGAGTGAAGATCCACCTAGCTCACTCTTCTAAATGTGTAAATAAATAAAATCTGACTTAGTCTAAAACCTTAGGTTAAGAACTAATTAGAGGAAAAAGATGAAGAAATCTGTTAGAGTGAACTTGCCCACCATAATTTGTAAACCCAAATAGCATGCTTCTCAATTTCCATTTTTTTAGCAGAAATAGATATTGATGTTCCATTTTTATTTTATAAAATGTGTCACTGAATATTTAGAATTCAACTATAAAGAATGACCATGAATAAATAAAACCAAGTTTCATTTGTCAGCACTTCTTAGGATTGTAGTAGCTTTGCTTGATTTAATATTAAATTGCTTTCTAATTTGCAAAAATAAATCAGCATCCCAGACATTATTATCAACCTTTAAGGTTTCATTACATGTAGAAAGCTGAAACTGCATAGTTGAAGGGGATTTGAGGCCTGATGAGAATGTTAATAGCCTATGGAACTTGTCTTCTCCAGGTCATCTTTCTGACTTTCGTACAGATCCAGAATTGCTGAAAGATTTACCAGCTGATGTCATCTTGATGTCCAGTGCCTATAGCTGAAATTAGCCTTTTCTACCACTGAATCACATTACTGCTAAAGCACATCAGTTTCTTCTGAGGGAGTAAAAAAAAAAAGTGTTGTTTAAAAGAAAGCGCTTCTGAAGAGTTGCAAATCTCCTTGACTCTGCCCGTTTTTAAGGGGTGGTGTTTAAAAGCTAAATTAGATCCATACGATTCCATACTGAAGTACTCAGTAGGCCATCTTTCCCAAGGTGGGAGAGAATGAAATTAATTTTGTTTGGAACATGGCTGAACTCCCTCATCGTAGTAACCATTAGGTTAGCTTCCAATGGTAGACAATCTGACTCCTTGTGAATAGTAGCAGAAAGAGTTTGTAGTGACAAAAGAACTGCTTCCTTTTTATAGCCAAATTAGGCTGGAGCCAAGTGGTGGGTTTTTCCATGTTTCTTCTGGAAAGTTAAGATGATCAGAGGCGTATGGAGTATGGGGTGTTTTGTTCCATCCCATGTGTTGTCACATCTCGTTTTGTGAATGTAACTCGCTTGCCTGATACCCCATTTATGATTGCCTGCTGTGGTGTGGAAACTGACTTCCTGGCAGCGCAGTGCAGTGCTGCCTAGACTATTCAGAAGGTCCAGATGCTAAACACCACTGATCATCTGGCTGCTCCTGGCCTTAGGAAGTTCTGGAACTGGAGCAGCATGCAGCAGGAGGAGAGCCTGTCTTTCTAAATCCTGGACAGTGCTCATGTTCATGATTTGTCATTCTTGCCTTGTTCTTCTCTATCCTATGATTTAGTGTGTGGAACTACATGCTTTCATAATAAATAATGAATATACAAATAAAGGTAAATATTTCTGTGGTTGGACCACAGGCCCTGTCAGCCAAGGTGTTTTCCAGAGTAAGAGGAGGACTACTGATCCCTCTTACGTTTTTAGGTAGGAAGAGAACTAATTGCACAGTAGTGATACTCCTTAGCTCTGCTCAGTTGTACAATTCCAAGTGCTCATTGTCCTCTTCTTACTAGCACCTTAAGCAAACTTTTTTCTTTTTGTTTGTTTCGTTTTGGTTTTGTTGGTTTTTTTTTTTTCTTCCCTGTTGTTATTGTTTCCATTTTAATGCTCTCTAGGCCCCTCCCAGAGTGGTCCAGGACCTCAGTATCCCAATTATCCACAAGGACAAGGCCAGCAGTATGGGGGATACCGGCCCACACAGCCTGGGCCACCGCAGCCACCACAGCAGAGGCCTTATGGATATGACCAGGTATTCTTTCAGTTGATGAGAAAGCTGTGATTCTTACATGCTTAATTGATAATCTTAGTTTCTTGTGGACATTTAAACTAATGAATTAGAGGACGTGGTCTCTTAGGTGTGTATATACAACATGGATTTTATTTCCTGGTGAGTTACCCAGAATCATTTATCTGGAGGTGTGATTAGTCATTTTCTTGCAAAGTGTTAATGCAATTTGGCAATGTAAGGCACTCCAGGCAGTATTTTTGGACCTCAAAGATTAAGGTGATCTGTTTCATAAGTCTCATGGTGGATGACTAATATGAAAGATGAGGTTCCTAAATCTCATGGTGTATCATTCTTCATTAGTGCTTTGCAATAAAAATGGTTGAATTTATTTTCCACAAACGCAATACACTAATCCTCCTCTCCAGCTGCAGAAGCACCTCAGGTGTGCAGCTGATGGCCTTCTGTAGAGCTGTGTGGGCAGACATGAATCCTGTTTTTACACAGATTTTCTCTGAGCAGTATAAAGAACACTGAACAAGGGAAACGAGTGACCTGAAAATCAACTGCTTGTTTACTATTGCTGCTAAGATAAGTAGCCCCTACAACTCTGGGCTGGAGTTGTAGTGAAGGACTTCTGTAAAAAAAAATCTGCCTTGTAATTAGAGAGTGAAGTGGAGAGTTTGTTCCTTTAGAAGGCACTAAACTATAAAAATACAATTTTGTAGTATGAATTACACAGAAGTGTCATTAAGATGTACACTGTTACTTTCCTTTGCATAAATAAAATTGAGATTAACTAAATGTACTTTATGGTTAAGTCGAGGTTCTAGTGTTTTTGGTATCCTGGTATGTCAGCACAAGATCAGTTGAACTTTCAAGAAGAATTTTCCTGTGGAAGTGCAAATAGCCACAATTGTCCATATATTTGAAGGAGAACAATTGGCTTGCTTTCTACAGAAATTAGCAAAGATGAGGAAGAAGGAACAATCTCTTTCAGTGTGGTAGTTTAGAGATACAGTTACTTCTCATTATTTAACAGATTAACAAAATGCTTATGTACTAAACTCATAACTTCCTCCAGCAAATAATAAGCTACGGAAAAATGCTTCACATGTGGCAAATGTAGGGTCAAGGGAACTTATTCTCAGTTTGAGTTTCTTCCAGCTTTCTTTGCAGTAGAATTGGATAACCCTCTCAGTAGATGGGCTCTACTCTGCCAGTTTGTGCAGTCTTAAGTTCCACTGGGAAACGCGATTATAGAAGGCCTCTCTTTCATACTAGACATTCCCATAGGAATTGCACTGCTTAAATTCTCATCTGGCAGTTGTTTTGAAACTCATCTTCCTGACTGTCAGATGGAAAAAACTGATACCGCAACATAAAATTGAAATCTAAAATACTGCCTTACCACGATGGTACTTTACATGGAATGGTGGCAGGACAGTAGTTTGGAGAATGTTTACTTTCTAGCGCACTACCAATTTCTGCAAGCCTTGAAGCCTGTGGTGAAGGATCATGGTAAGCGTGTAGCATTGATGCTTTCACCTCTGCCCTCCTCTGCAGTACATGATGTTCTGTCAAAAGAAATAGAGAATATCAATAAGGGTAATAATTCTATGTATCAGATACATGGAATAATTGATTCCCATAGGATATGTTGGCTAGTTGTGTTCACTGGGACGTGCCTTGGTTTTCGTGTATCAGTCCAATCTGTGATGCTTGATGTATGAATAATTTTAGGAATTTCTAAAAGCAGGTTAGTTTCCTAAATTACTTTGAATTTAGTTGACCTTGTCTTTTTTTAAAATAATTTTCAAAGTTTGGGTGGGAAGTAACTCCTGTCTTATTTTTTTGTGGTGTTTTGCTTATAATTTATTGTTATTTGTTTGTACCTTTTAACATCACAGTTTATTTGGATAGTCTTTTGATTTTAGCGTTTAATACAGGAAAATATGCCTTGTGGTCTAATTATGTATTTTGATTATTATTTTTTTTTTAGGGTCAATATGGAAATTACCAACAGTGAAAAAGTACTCACATTCCAGTAGGCAATATCTATTAGCAGCCATATTGTCTCCTCAGCACTGTGGACATCTTCCTGAGATGAGAACCTCCCATTCCATCTAGCTTTTGGAAAAATCTTGTGGCTGTTTTATGGTATACAGTCTTTATGGGTTAATTGTTAAAGACTGTAGATTCTCAGAAACTGATTTCACATCTCTACTCTAGATGGCAATATTGGACAGAAAATACGTGACATAATTTGCAGTGAGTTGAGAACTGTATGTCAAATAGACTGTTACAGACTGAAAGGTGCGAACAGCTTTGTATGTTTATGAAGGTTATGGGAATTTAATATTTTTTCCACGGATTTTTTTTGTAGGGGGAAAGGGGAAATGCACACTTTTTACAGCAGCAATATTTTGTATATTATGTTTTTCATGTGGTGAATATGCAAGACAGTACACTACTCGCTGGGCAGGATAAGAAATCTACTGTTAAAAATAGGTAGGGGCATGATAAGTGCTGGATTGTATAAATCTTGAAATGGTGTACAATAAAGATAACAGTGAAAAAAGATGGAGAACATCATACATCACTGATAAGTTCATGTACAAAGAGAATGAGAATCCCAGTTATCTAAATGGGAACATAATTAAGGACAGTATAATATAGTCTTGTGCAAAGATTAATTTTTTAAGCTTTCCAATTTTTCTGAGTGAAGCAGTTTTGTAAAAATTATTTCTAACATAGTTTGACAGTTTTCTGCAACATTTTTTGGGTAACAAGATAAACGTTTGGGTTTTATTTCTCAAGTGTTTTGTCACAGCTTTGCATAAGCAAGCTGTAATCCCTCTTAATAATTGCAATAACAAAGAAAATGACAAGTGTTAATTTTACTTGGCTTGAATATGCAAAGAACTTGAAAAAGAGTGTGGAGGACAGGACTGTATTGTATAAGTGTATTTTAATCTTTAGTTGAATAATTTGTATGTATCAAAATAGCCTAGAAGACTTTGTAAAACCTATCTAAACTTTCCTAGCTGGGAGATAATATCTTTAGAAAGGGGGCATTTTCTGTGTGTGTCCATTTTTCTTACTGGTTAACATGAGACCAAGGGATGTTTTATAACATCAAACATAAAGCCTGTTGGTGAGATGAATGCCAAATTTTGGGTTGAACTGCATTACAGCTTATAGTGTTGCATGTGAAATAGAGGCAGCACCTTGATCAATAGCATAATACACACAAAAAAATGGTTTTGAGACTGTCCTGCAACTGTATATCAGATAAATAAATGGCTATTCTTTTGTGCAGGAATATATGCATTCAGGAATTCCTGGAAACTTTTATAAAGGACAAAACTTAAAATTAGCCCCGGGGTAAAATAAGATTTCGGTTTTAGTTGATCAGATTTGGGGATTAAAACCAGAAAAACAACCGGTGTTCAACATTACTCATGGAAGACAGGATTTTAGATTTGTTCATCATTTTTAAAGGGAAAACAGTTTTCTTAAAGTTGATAGAAAATACACATCAAGGTTTGAACAGATATGGCATGAGGAACATTATGAATGAAATGCTTGTAGGTTCTGTGCCAATTTTCCACCACTGTGTACTTCATCGCTATTTAAAACTGTACTCCATCAATTCTAACGGAAGAATAAATTATTTGTGATTTTAATTTTCTCATTTGTTTCTTTAAATTAGATCCCGATCACTCTGATGTCTCATCTGGAGGCTCTGCTTTGGGTTTTTATTTTATAGAAGTTTGGCCAGAATAACCAAACTGTATTTGCATTCTAGGACTTTATCAAAATTCTCTTGCCATAGCCAAGTTAATTAGAATTAACTGTTCAGTAATCAGCATGTTGTGTAGGTTGTTTGTTACAAAATTCTTCCTCTGAAAATGAAGGTCCATGAGACTATAATCAAGATGACTGAATTAGATAAATGAGTTGAGGAGGCAAAAATGTGTTGAACCCAGCCTGGTGTAGATATGTTATCTCATTTGAAATAAGCTCAACTGACATTAAGAAATAATTTGTCTTGCCAGCCCATCTTCTGTTGTCTTATTCTCCTTTTTAATGGAAACTAAAATTGCAATTTTAATAAGCAGAATTTCCTCCAGGGTTTCCCTCCTAGAGACTACTGCATTTGCAAGGTTTAATTGTTTTATAACGGTCCTGTTTCGTAAAACTTTTTAATTGGTGGTGACAAAAATTACCTTATTCCTCTGATACTATGCGAGGAGAACAACTTGAGAGGAGATGGCTCCACATGAAAGTATTTCTACTAACGCTATATATTAAAAAAGAACCACTTTTCCCTAAACAAA